TGTGGGCCGGAGACCTGAGCGGGCCGGTCCATCTCCAGCCGCCGGAAGTCCGGCCGAGGGGCCGGCCCGGCAGCCGCCTCGGGGCCCCTGCTGTGTGGAGGGCTCTCCGGCGCCCCCTTTGGTACCCGCGTGTCTGCAGATGACCTGCGCGGAGCATCTCCTGCTCCCTCCAGGGTCCCCGCTCGCACGGGACCGTTTCCGGAACCGTTTTCACTTGCAGTCTTAAGGCAGTGTTTCTAGGAGTGCGTACCGATACATATCGCCTAGGGAGCTTGTGTTTCTAAGCCAGGCCTGCTTGCATTCTTATGGGTGGGGCACAGGTATCAGAGTTCTTTTTTTTAAAGGCTTGCTTGCTTGCCTGCCTGCCTGCCTACCTACCTGCTAACCTATGATCCATCTATCCGTCTATCTATTCTACTATCTATCTATCTAATCTATCTAAATGGCAGTCCATATGCAATCTGGGTATTTTGTGCATTTTGATCTGCAAACTACTATTCTAAGTGCTTTAAGAAGTTTATTAGACCATCCTCCGACCACACCTACCTCCTCCCAAGACTCCCACAGTAGGCACTCCACCTCCCCACCTCCCTTTCCCTTCAATAAAGCAAGACAAAGCAGTGTCTCTTTGGATTTTTTTTTTGTAAAACATTCTTTTATTAAAAGAACAAGTGCTGTTTACGAACTGCCCTTCGTACAAATAACATCCGTTATACAAAGATACAAGATCCGTGTTATGCACAATTCCAGACTTGGAGGTGGCAAGGGGAGGGGCATTGCCTTTTGGGTTGAGGATATAAAGGAGGCTTTAGAAAGAATGAAAAAGGAGCCCCTGGGTTTGCAAACTGTGGCTTCCCCTCCCTGCTCCCCTAGGAAGTGTCTGCTACATTGAGACAGGCTAGGATGGAAAGAGGGGGACAGGGTGGGAGCCAGGGTTTGAGTCTCCAGCCCCACCACCTAAGTCCTAAGAAGGAAGCTGGAGGAAGTGAACAAAGGGCAACAAAGGCACCCCTCAGTTCCCAACGTTTCAGCAGATCAAGTCAAAGTGGTTGGGAGCCAGACACACTTTTAACCTGGATTGATGTGATTGGAAGGAGCCAGGGTATCGCCCTTGCTTTCCTGCAAGTTCCCCATTAATCCCTCCAGGCACCTCTCCCCAGGAAAACCAGCTGCGATAAAAAGGAGAATCTGGAACAAGCTGCCTGCCCCTAACTTGGGCCCACCACACACCAAGGAAGATGCTGGAAGCTGGCAGGGGGAGCCTGTGCCTTTGAAAACTTGTCTGCATTTCCAGTTGGGAAAGGGACGTGTGGAGGAGGTCGCCGTCTCTCAGAGCTGGGTCCTTCTCTCCCTGGCTCCAGTCCCCCTCACTGTCCAGGCCCTTCCTAGGAGGACTTCCCTAGAACTCAGGACAGGAGTGGGCGGGGTGCTCTCATCAGCCTCAAGGTAAGGGCACAGGGAGGCAGCAGTAGACCCAGGAGCCTGAGGGGAAAAACTCACACACAAATAGGAAAAAAATCAAAGTAGAAAGAAAAGGCAATTTTTAAAGTGTCATTGTCTCTGGAGAGGATCCATCAGCTCTGAGCTAAGACAGTGCTTCACAGATGCCCCCCACCCCGGGCACAGCCCTGCATTCACACCGCAGGTCACACACATACAGGGACAGACAGCCACATGGAGGCAGCGCAGTGGGGCAGGAGAGCCAAGGACCAGGAGGCCAGGGTCCTGAGGGCTGGTCCTGGCTCTGCCCCTGAGCCCCTGCCCCTCTGAGGCTTGGAGCCATCACCTGTGAAGCAGGACCTGGCTCCCACGACCCCTAAAGACAGGTCCCTTCCAGCTCTGACATTCATGCACTAGTTTGTGACCTCAGGCCAGACAGCAGCTCTGCATGCACAGCCCACTCACACCTCCGTGCTGAGGGTATGACACACGAAGCACTCCACACTTTCAAGCTCCACGTCCGCCCTGCAAACCACATCCTTCCCCTCACCTAGACAGAACAATCTATAAATCTGCATCCCTTCCTGCTCCCCATCCAAATTCATCCTAGAAAAAGGGACTGAGGCTGAAAGAGGAGGGTGGGGTCAAGGTAGCTGGACCCCTGGCACTGGGACCCGGCTCCCTCCTGAAGTGTTCCAGACCGTGCCTATTATAAAGCTCCCTCCAAAGAGGAAAATGCACCACCTCTGTCATGCCCCCTGCCCCAAATCCTGGGACTGCACCAACCCATACCCAGCCTAGGCACCTTCTTCAAATCTAACCTGCCTACCTGCCACTGCACCCAGCCTGGAGAAAGTAGGAAAACAGACTCTTGGAGATGAGAACCCCAGGCTCTCAGGTGCTGGAGGGAAGAGGAGTTCTTGGTTCCAGTGCAATAAGACATTGGGACCTCTCACCCTCTGCCACAGCAGCCTTGGGGTGGATGGACTTCCCTCACCATCCAGAACAGAAGCTGACTTCAGCTCTAAGTGGGCTGACCTTGGGCGAGGGTGTGGGTGTGAATGAGCCTCTCTTCTAAGAATCTCTGAAAGTTGTTTTTTCTTTTCAGTGGTTTGGGGGCAGGGAGTTAGAGAGCTTAATAGATGAAGATGAATAAAATGCTGAATTCTATCATGTCTTTCTAACTGATATTTAGCATTAATAAAAAGTATTTCTGAGGTCATCACAACTGCCTCCCCCCTCCCCCTAAGCCCTTGCAAGTGCCTAAGAAATTGCCTCTGAAGGATTCCCACCCACCCCCTCCATTATCAGCTCCCTAACATCTTACAAAGTCTTATCAACAGGAATATTAATATTATTTTCAGTATCAGAAAAAAACCAGTTGAGCAGCACAGGCAAAAATATATCTGCACTACGTTTCTGTCGTTGCCAAAAATATACACATCTTCTTTTCTTTATTTAAAAAACAAAACAAAACCAACAACAACAAAAACCCAAACAGAAACACACACACACACACACACATACACACACATACAAATCTGCACATGCAAAGAGACTGACTAGACACAGGCATCAGGGAAGCTGGACGCACCCCCTCCCGGCTCGGACCCCAGTGCACCCGAGACAGACACAGGCTTCAACCTCGTCCCCCTCCTGCCATCCCATCTGTCCTCAACCTTGGCCACCAAAGGCTCTGGGCAGGTGGGGACTCTTTAAGGTGAGAACTGCCCACTACACCCCAGGGAAATAGCTGGTGGGTGAAGGGACAGTTGTTAGGTCAGCTTAAGCTTAAGTCTCCCCTGGTTGGTGGGGGTGGGGGGAGGGAAGGGGGAGGCAGGTGGGCTAACTCTGGGAAGAAGGTTTTCACTGAAAGAAGTGGCACTTTACCCCCTAATCCCTGGGGCTCCCCTTGTGTCAGGGAAGCAGGACCAATAATCAGTGGCGGAAGGGGAGCTTGGAGGGGCACTGAGACCACACGAGGTCTGGGGGAGGAAAGGCAGGATATCACCCTGATTCAAAGCCCCCAGCCCCCAGTTACTCTCCAATATTGGAGTACTCTTCTGGTTTTTGTTAACCATTCAGGCCCCAGAAAGGGACTAAAGTTGGTGAGGTGAGAGGGTGCAAACAAGAGCTAGGGGCGCCCCTCTGATGCTGCCCCATCTGAGCACTGCTTCCCTCCCTGCCCTTGGCTGCCCGGGGTCCAGGGAGAGACAGACACACGCACGCTTGCGCGCACGCACGCACGCACACACACACACACACACACACAAGCTCTCTGAGTCAGGCCGCTTCATCTCCCCACCCTCGGCACTCCTAAATCCAATAGTGCAAACAAGGGGCAGGGCACCGAGGGGGCTGGGCCGCCCTCCCCCTGCCCTCCCCCGGCTGATCACTGGGACCTACCCCCCAGAGGTAGGGAGGCTTGGGCCGAATTTGATGCCACCCTGCCCCTTCCTCAGCCTCTTAGTCTGTGGGCTTTTACAAGCTCAGCTTGTGACCCTTGTAGGGGGGCAGGGGAAGGGGCCCAGCAAGAAACAGCCCCAGGGAGCCCTCCTGCCGTCTGCCCAAGTTGGGAAGAAACCGCAGGTCAAGCAGGGCTCTTCCTCCTTCTATAGAAGACTTCTGCACAGGGGCAGGCCCAGGGCCAAACCCCCCCTACTTCTCCCACACAAGTGCTGATCCATTTTATGTGGTGGATTCAACCAACCCCCCACTTATGCGATGGCCCACTTAACATGCTTTCTGGGAAACCTCAAAACATTCACTGAGAATGGGGGCTCCTAGGCAGGCTTGGAGCCTGACCCCCTCTGAGCCCCTCACAAAAGGCCCAGTGCAAAGTGGAAGGGGGGCTAGATGGAAAGGGCTCCCCTCTTGGTCTCAGTCCTCGGCACCAGGAGCACCCCACAACCCCCGGCCCTCAGCACATGCTCTGGGCCAGGGCTCTCCAGTGTCTGGGCACAGGTGCCCGCTCCAGGCTGGGACCCCTCAGGCCAGGATCTGCCCCTCCACTTGGGGGATCAGCAGGGGCGTGGGTGGATTTAGCCTTTTTCCTGGTTGGCTGAGGCTCCTTTGTCAGCGGTCTGGAAAAAGAGGAAGGGAGGCTGGGGGTTTGGGAGGTGTCTGGTCCTAACACCTGCTTGAGAATGGCTTCCTGGGTCAAGAAAGCTAACGTAGGGTGCAGTGAGGGCCTGGGCTCTGGCGGGTGCACACCAGGGTTAACGAGTACATGTGTGTAGAGGGCAGGAATTGCCCTGCGTAGGCATGTGTTCGCCAAGGCCAGCACTTGGACTTTGGCTCTAGGCCCACAGAAGGAGGAGGAAGAGGCTTTCTTCAAATGGCCCACCCAAAGCATCATCTTTTTCTAAATGGTCCAATCAGAGAGGAAACAGCCTTTTCTAATTGGGCTTCCCAGAGGAATGCCATTTTCTAATTGGGCCTTTTGCTGTTAGCCCGTATGCAGAAGGGATCTTTATTGGACCTGAAGGAGGGCACCCATTTGCTGGCAGAGGCCCTGGGGCCTAGAGCAGGCACTCTGCTGACCCAGGGATCGCTTCCTTCCTCCTTCTGATGATTCACCTGATGACGTCCCTTCTAATGCTCCAGGAGGGCCCCGACCCTTTACTCACCCCTCCTTTGGGGCCACCTCCGTCCGCCCCTGCCAGGCTGAGGAAGGGGTTGGTCTGGGCAGTGAGGACTGGAGGGCCACCCGCTGCTGCTACTGCTGCGGCCGCGGCCGCCGCAGCCATGAGACTTGTGTTGTTGCCAAGTGAGGGAGCCACCAGGGCCCCGGCAGGCAGCAGAGGTGGGGCAGATGCTGTGGGCAGCAAGCCAGGGGTGCCCGCGGACAGCAGAGGGGTGGAGCTTCCGGCCAGAAGGCTGGCCATGGGCAGCTGGGAGCCCCCGGCCATCTGCAGCCGCTGCAGCTCCCTCTTCTGCTGGATCTGCTGGATCATCTGGTAGACAACGGTCTGGTGTTCCTGCAACAGGGCCAGACTGCTCACTGGCCAGCGGTCCCCATGGTTATCTCACCCTGCTTGGCCTGGGCCCCATCCCATCACACTAGGACCATGAGGCAGGAGGCCTGGGAGATAGTCAAGGTTTGGTCTCTAACTCCCCACTCTGGGCCTCAGTCTCCCCATCTGGACAAGAAAGAGGTTGCTCACCCTCAGTGTCTGTCAGCTAGGGCACTACTGGCCAAGTGCAGGAGGTTTAGCATCCCTGGCCCCATCCCCCTCACCAAAGCAATTCCTCAGTTGCTATGACAACCAGAAATGTCCCCAGGGGTGGTATGACCCCAAGTTGAGAAACACTAAACGAGGTCAATAGTTTTCAACTCTCCTCTTTTTTGTTTGTTTTTTTTTTCCGCTTAAGATTCATTTATCTTTGCTTTAAACAGGCAGAGCATTTTCAGTGTCCCAAAACTCAAAACTATTTATCAAGGCTTACATCTTAAGAAATCTTGCTTTCACCCCTGTTGCCATCTGGCCTCTGTAAGTAACCAACTGAATTGGTTTCTTTTTACCTTCCCAGTGTTTCTTTACATGAAAATGAGTATTTTTCTATTTTTCCAATTCCCCTGTTTTTTTAAAGGCAGAACTCCTTTTCACCAAAGGAATTTTTAGTAGAACTCAACATACAAGAAAGAGCTCAAAGGGGCTGCTCTGGTTGATGGGGTGTCTGTCACCTGCTCAGTTACCTCTCTACGTGGGCCCTGAAGTCCCCACTGAAGATCCTTGGGGCTGGAACTGGAAATGCTCAGTAACAGGACTCACCACCCTCCAGACCTTCTCACTAGGATGTGATCTGGGGCCAGTACAGCATCTCTGTCCCCGTGGCCAGGGCCCCTGTGAGCAACCCCCTTTGCCCCTACATGATCCATAAGGGTCCAGCCTGCGGCTCTCCTCCCTCCCTTCTAAGCCTTCCCTTTGGGGCCGACCTAGATACTCTGAGATGGGCCCTTCCAGCAGAGCAGGAGGCGGGGAGGTGGCCCAGGCAGAGAGGGGCATTACCGGGGTCAGCTGTGGGGAGGCCAGGAGCTGCTGGAGCTGCTGGAGCTGCTGCTCTTGCTGCTGCAGGAGGTGTCTCTGCTGCTCGGTTAGGCTGAAGCAGGAGGCAAAACACAGACCATGGGAAGGGACAGGGAAACACTCCTCCCCTGCCCCCACACGCTTCCAGACTCCCTCAGACCCAGGTGGAGAGAGGCGGGGATGTGTGATATTAAAGGACAAGAGCTCAGAGAGGACAGTGGGAGGGAGACAAGTTAGGTGGAAGAATTTTCTCAGAAGGAAAACCTAGATTCAGGTATAAGGAATAAACAGACAATTCTGTCTCTGGAGAGCTACCACCCAGACAGCACTCACACCTAACATCTAGGGAGCACCTGGGGCCAAGAGGTGACTAGATTCTGTACCCTGTAAGACCGCAAGACAGCTTTCCAAAATTTGGGGGGATTGTGGGTGTTTGGGGGGAGTCCCTCCCAGAGCCAGCCTCCCCGTTCCCTTCCCCAGGCTGAGCTCTCCCTCACCTGTTAAGACAACCTGGCAGCTGCAGCGTGGGGGCCCCGCCAGCCTGGCTCAAGCCTGCAGGGTTGGGGGCAGCAGCCCCATTCAACCCCCCCAGGAGCCCATTGAGGGGCAGGGCCCCGCTGCCCGCCAGCCCCCCCAAGAGCCCCTCAGCCATGGGCATAGCCCCCAGCCCTGCTGCCCCCGGTGCCCGGCCCAGCCCATTCTGCGGCTGGGGTGGGAGCGGGGCTGGGGCCCCAGGCAGGGCCAGGGGCAGAGTAGCAGGGCTCTGCTGGAGCAGGGGCAGCGGTGGGGGCGTGCTGTGGAAGGACAGCGACGAGCTGCTGCGGCTCGGGCAGCCTGAGTGTGGGTCCTGGGGAGGGAGGGGGAAGGGAGGGGTCAGAGGGGCGGGGGGCCAGCATGACCTTTCTGGCCCCCCCAGCCCAGCACTCACCAGCATTCTCACAGAGCACAGCCACCCTCACCTTAACCCCAGGCAGAGCCACTCAGCAGGAATAAGCAAGGCCCAGGGATAAAGGCTAAGAATCCAAATGGTCTTTACAAATCACTTTCTGGGGGCCTCGCCCAATGCTTGTTTAACACAGAATAGTGATGACAGTAGTGACTACCTAGTGAACTAGATCCAGGGTTCAGTGCTTGACCTGTACTAACTCATTACTGCTGTTTTATGGGTGAAACCATTGGTTAGCAGACAGGCTAAGTCACTCTGCAGGCAGCTGGAGTGAAAGACTCTGGCTCAAATCCCATGTCCGCAATGCAATGGCTTGGGTGGTTTCTCTGTTTCAGTTGACACACTCATAACATGGGGGTAACAGCAGCACCCATTCCACAAAGTTATTGTGAAGACTAAACACGCCACGCTTTAAAAGTCTCAGCACAGGACATGACAAAGGGCAAGTACACAATTAACGTTAGTTACTATTATGATTATTGTTGCCCAAGTCACACAATTTGTAAGTGGCAAATAGAACAAGAACCCAGTTTGCTTGATTTCAGTAATAACCACAACATAACAATAACAACTGCTACCCCAACCACCACCAATTACACAGGTATTATTTTGTGTGAGACTTTAATAAACTGTAATAAACTCTTCACAAATACTTCCCAAAGAGGCCTTCCCTAACCACCTTATATCCAGAGAAGAATCCGACCCTCCATTCTTTCTCACAGCCCTCAAATTATTTCCACCTTAGCACTTTTCCCGGTTTGTAATTGCTGATTTTCTTAGACTTAGCCTGTCTTCAGGAGCAGAACTGTGTCTGTTTTGCTCACCGACTGTTTAGCCAGTGACTGGCCTAAGTAGGCACCTCGCAATTATTACTTATTTAACGAAACAATGAGTGGACCAGTCACCCAATTGCTCAGCCATTCACGTCACTGCCCGGCTTCCAATAGCGCAAGGTGGAGATGGGACATGGAGGCCCTAGCACCTCCCCGCTCCTGCCGTCCCGTCCCCCGTGCCCCTCCCCGTGGCGCCCACCTCGGAAGACGTGGACAGAGAGTTGTCCAGACCCAGGCTGTTCTTCCCTGTAGGGCTCTTGCTGGTGCTCAAGGAATCGCTGCTGCCGGCTGAAGGAGAGGAATCATGGAAGGAGGTCAGGGCTGGAGTCGAGCCAGTTCCCACCGCTGAGCAGAGGCCCCTCACACACAGGCTGTGGGATCCCCTTACCTTGGGGAGGCAGGCCATAGGGTCCAGGAATAGGGCCATTGGCGGCAGGCAGGGCGGTAGGCAGGGCAGCGAAGGGCACAGAGAGTTGCACGTTGAGAATCTGCAGCCGCTCCTTCTTGGCCGTAAGGCTCAGGATCTGCTCCTGAAGCCGCTGGTTTTCCTTCTGCAGCGCGTGTAGCGCCTTCAGCATCTCCACGACTGCAGACAGAAGGCGAAAGCGCCTGAGCCCCGCGGCGGGCCTGGAGAGGCGGGGTGAAGGCTGGGGGCGGGGCAAGAGGACCAGGGTGGAGCCTGGAGGGGCGGGGCCTGGGGAAGAATTCGGACTGAGACCTAAAAGAGAAGACGCCGGCTAGCGAGGGACTCAGGTGAATCCTGGGGACCCAAAGGTCTAAGAACCAAAGGGTGGGGCCTAAAGACCAAAGGGTGGGGCCTCAGGCCCAGGGTGGAGGCCTCGTGATTGGGAGTGAAGCTGCTGGCGGAAGTTGGGGCTTAGTAAGGTAAGGGCCAATAGGTCGCGAGGGCCAAAGGCCAGGTGAAGAGAGGGCGGGGCCAGGAGCTGGACCTTGCGAGGATGAAAGGTAAGGCCCGGGACTGGCCAGAGTTAAGGTGAGGGCGGGGCCGGATCCTTAAAGACGGGGACTTGAGAGAGGTGACCGAATCTGGGGATCCTAGGACAGGTCTCCCAGCCCGACGTCACCCCTCCTCACTGTTAACGCCGGCCTCGCCATCTCCTTGCTTCTCCAGCAGCTGCTCCATGTTAGTCGTTCCCGGAGCCGCTGGGTCCAACTGGCCGCCCCCACAGGGTGCGGACGCTGTCTGGTCGAAGAGTGCCGGGAGGCTGCTGATGGGGGACCTGGGGTCAGAAGGGAAAACTGGGCTCAGGATTACCTCACTCCCCAACTCCAGTCTCCCCGTCCCCCTCCTCTCCTCTCAGGGGTTTCAGACATCCCCTTGGGGATCCCACTCTCTCCTCGCGCCGTCTCTCCGCCCTCTCCTCCCTGGCAGTCCCTCCGCCCCGCTCCCAGCCCCTCCCCCAAGCCGCCACCCCCTCCCTCACATGGAAGACAGACTCTCCTGGGGGGAGGTCCCCCGACATCGGAAGCTGCAGTCCTCCAGGTCTGGCTCTTGGAAGAAGTGGGGCAGGGATCAGCGAGGAAGGGGTGCCGTCGGCCTCACAGTCCTCGCCTGGGAAGTGGGTGCGGGATCTGGGACCTTACCGCAGACCCTTCCCCAGGACCTCCCAACCCTAGACTGGCAGTTATAGTTCTTAAGGCGCTGGGAGCCTTGGCTTGGAAACCGAGCCTTTTGGGAGGCAAAGCCATGGGATCTCGTCTCGTCCCCTTTCTCTAGGCAGAAAGGCTCTTGCTGCCTGGCTACTTTCAGATCCACCTCCCAATTTCTTTCCTGGAAGAAAACTTGTAACTTCAAAGTTATAGACATTTGGGGCCTAGACAATCCTGGGTTGCACTTGGACCTGATACTTACTTGCCGTGTGACCGTGGGCTTGAAACTAACCTCTCTGAAGTGATTGTTAGGATTAAAATCAGATAATAAATGTGAAGCATTAAGCTGAATGGTTTAGCTGCCATACAACAAGCCTTTAAATATTGTACTACTATAATCAGTTTTGTATGACTTTCATATTAATAAGCTCACAGATTAGACAACAAAACTCTGTTAGGCCACAGAATTACAATCTGCGTTCTGGAAAATATAGTCACTTACTCTGTAGGTCCTTAATTCTGTAATCAGATTTGGCGCCTTTAAGGCCTACCTGATCTGGTAAGCCCCACCCCCAGCAGGCCAGGTGGTACCTCTGCACCAATCAGCTCTCTGGGGCTGGGTTAACCCTCCAAGGAGAGGGAGGGGCGCCTGGGATCCGTCCTCTTAACTCCTAAATACCCAGAGAGCAGGTTGCCCAGATGGTGGGACCTCTGCAAAAGCTGATCCCACAGATTCACTAAGAGGCGGGAGGGGAACTACCCTACAGCAGTAGAACTAGGCATGGAGTCAGGGTACCAGATTTTCAGCTCCTGCTCTGCCTTTCCCTACTTGAACTGGCTTGAGCAAGTCATACGTCTCTGCCTTTTTCTTTTGTAAGATGGAGCAGTAGTAACTCTGCCCTGTCCTGCCCTGCCCCATCCCCTCACGGGGGGAGGGGGTCTTCAAGTGAAAGTGTATCCCGGTTTGTTGTGTGTGAAAATTTTTTGGCTGGGTGAGCAATGGCCAGAGGGAGGGGGCAGCCAGAAAGCCCTCCCATCCTTTCTGGGGTGACATGCAAGTGATGGGTGCCCCTCAGGTCTTCAGGAAGAAAGGGGAATGGGGTCAGGGACTCACATACCTGTGTGGCTGCTCTCGGCTTGGGTGAGGAGGGGGTTAACGGCACCCATTGGGGTTCCAAAGATGTGGGTAGAAGGGAGGCTAAAGGTAGAGCCAGCCAGAGAAAACACCTGAGGGAAAGGAGGTACAGTCCCGCCTGGTGGTTATTCTTGGATCTAGAGCACAACTGTGTGCACCGGGGTGGAGGGGACCAGGTGTGCTGGGGAGGAGAGAGGACCAGAGAGAGGGAAAAGTTCTGGTAGTGCTCAAGCCCAATCTCTCAAATTCCCATGGAAAGCTGGGGTCCTCGGCAGGCTGTCCCCCACCTGCCCAGGGACAGAGGAGCCCAGGAGTAAGGCCTCACCTGAGTGGTGGAGATAGAAGCAGAGGAGGAGGGGAGGGTGCTGGTGAATGGGGAGCGGCTGAGACGGGGCAGGGCCGAGGTCCCTGGGGGCCCCAGAAGGCTGGAGGAGAGGGGGGTGCTGCAGACAGCCCGCAGCATTCCGCCACCGTGGGAGATGGGGTCCTTATTACTGGTGTAGATGCCTACAGGCACAAGGAGGACACAGAGGGAAGCTTACAGTCACCACTCCCCCAGGCCCCTCCTCAGCCAGGTGACTAGGGCAACCTCTCCCCTGGATCTGGCCACACACCAGTCTTACCCTCTTACTGCAAAGATGTCACATCTTGTCTGGGTGACATCTGCTTGACATGCCTGCTTATTTGCCCTGCCCAGGCTGGAGAATTCCCAGCTTTTCTAACTGATCAACCAAAACTTGGGTAAGTCCTATTGGCCATCTACCCCAGTCTCTCCCACTACAACCATGCAGAAGATGGGTACGGGGGAGTGTCTCAGGTGACTGTCACCTCCATCCTCTGTCCTTTGGAGCAGTTTCTATCACATTTCTTTCTAACTGCATGTTTATATCTCTGTCCTCTCACTAGACTGGCTGGGGCCCTGAGATACCCTCCATCCCCAAGGGTCACTAACCTGCCCCCAGCAGGGGTGACTCCAGGCTCAGGCTGGGCAGGCTCCCAGAAGGCCCAAAGGTACGAGAGGCCAGACCCCCCAGGCCGGAGCTGACCAGGGAACCTCCGGAGAAGGGTGAGGCAGCAGTGGCGGTAAAGCCAGCCAGCTGGGCACCAGGCAGGGAGGGAAGAGCTGGGCCCCCAGTGCCCTCCTTGTTCCGGCTGCCCTTGGGTCGGCCTGGCCCATGTCGGCTTCTCTTGCTGGCTTTGTGCTTCTTCTCCTTCAGGCCTGTCTCAGGGGTCTCCTCAGCAGGCACAGGGGCAGCGCTCAGCGTGGGCATCCGCTTGTGGGTGCCTGCAGAGGCCCCGGACCCCGATACGTGGGGAGACTTATAGTCCCCAGGGGACGGGGCCCGGGCTCGGCCCGAGCTGGAGGTGGTGGTGGAGAAGCGCATGATGGGCCCAAAGCCAGAGAAGACCACCTTCTGCTCAAAGAGGTCTGCCTTGGGGGGCTCGGGGGCCGAGGGAGAGGGAGGGGCTGAAGGGGTGGGGGCTGTGGGCTTGGAGTACTTGTCTTCCTCAGGCTGCTCCAGCTTGGGGAATGCAGAGAAGTCAGGGGAGCTCTGCAGGGACGAAACTGCAGAGGGAAAATGGAATTACAGCTGGAGCCCAGATCCCCACCCCACTCCTACTCCCAACATGCACTAGTTAGAGAGCGCTCTGGTAGGGGGATAGGGAAGCCAGGTTTCCTGTCCCAGCTCTGCCAGTATCTCTGTGTCCTAGGATGAGTCCCTCCCTCCCTGCCATACCCCACCACCTTTTCCACCTTTGATAAAGAGGGAGGAAAATAACTCCCACCCTACTGTCCTCACTGGATGACCACATAGGGATTACAAGAGATAACATTAGTGTTTGTGCTTTAAAAAACGGTACCTGACAGCACACGTGCAGGGGATAATGAATAATGCTATGGGGTTGGAGAGCCAGGCCCTGAGGGAGAGGGGAGGGTTAAGGGGGTTCCAGCTCAAGAGGGGAGGGTTAAGGGGGTGGGGTGGAGAAAAGTCACTTGGTGGGGATTCCTTCATCTTTAACCAGAATCAATTTAAGCAAATGAGATGCAAACCAATCTGCAAAGGCCCTTGTTAGAAAAGCTCAGGACCAAAGACTATCTGGTTCCCAGCCTCCTCCAGGATGTCCACACTCACCTGCAGGCTGGAAGGGCCCCCCAGAGGAGGAGGAAGAGGAGGAGGAAGAAGAGGAGGAGGCGGAGGTGAAACTGCTCACACCTTTCCCACTGCTCAGTTTCTTCCCCTTGTGACTCAGGCTATGGCTGGAAGACTTTTTCCCCTTTGAGTCCCTGCTGCTTTCAGAAGTCTCCTGAGTGCTGGCCTCATGGTGAGAGGAGGAGGAAGCCGAGGAGGAGACCTGAGGGAAGGAGAGGAGAGGAAGGCTCGCAGTCAGCCTCAGGGCCTGGGCTCACCCTGACTTGGGAGTGGAGCAGGAGGATCCAGGACCCAGGGCTCTCCTAGGAGCACCCACAGTTAGCCTCAGGAAGCATTTCCAGGCAAGCAGATGGTGGGAGCTCCTCCACCAGGGAGATGGGGAGGCAGCTGTGGAACTTCTGGGTGTGAAGAGATGGGACCTCTGAAACCAAGAAGCTGTCGGTCCTTCACCTCGGGCTGCGGAGTGATGAAGATGGTCTCAAGAGTCTGTACTGATGTACGTATCTGCTCAGTCACTCATTTAAGAAACACTTAGGCCCAAGAGGGTTGGACTTGTGTTGAGAAGTGGGGTACATATGGAAGACGGACCTCAGGGAGAAAAGGCTGCCTTGGCCCCATTCTTGGGCCCTCCAATCACCATCACTCCCTCCTTGCTCACCCCCAGCTGCAGCCACCTGGCTGACACTTGGCTCCTTGGCCACTCCATGCCCTTTCTAGACAATCAGCACTCTGCCCGAAGAGCCTGTCCTTTCTCTCCCTGGGAAATGTCTCATCCTTCAAAATCCAGCTCGAAAACCCCCTCTTCTTGGAGTCACCCCAGAGCTACCCAAAGTGGAACAAGTCATTCTGTCCTGTTATTTCCAGGGCACCACGTACCCACCTACATCAGCCATGTCAACAGCTGCCACGCTGTACTGAAATATACTGTCCCCCATGTCTGAGGGCAGCAGGGCAATGGCTGGAAGGGCCTGGGCTCTGGGGGCTGAGCCTGGCGGGCTCTGCCTTCTACTGCTGTGTCATGACGTGTGGTCTCTCACCTTCATGGAGCTCCAGTGTCCTTATGGGACTAATCATGCCTATTTGGAGAGTTACGAGGAACATAATGCCAGATACATAGTATGGGGTCAATAATGATGATTCTGATGGCGGTGGTTGCTAGTTATATACTGCAGAGACAGTGTCCTGTGCTGGTTAAGAGAACAGGCCTTCAAGCCGGACTGCCTGGGTTCAAATCCTGACTCCACCACTCACTAGCTGTGTGCTTTTAGACAAATTACTTAACTACTCTGTGCCTGTTTCTTCATTTATTGAATGCGGTTAATAAAATATCTACTTTATCTGAGAATTAAATTGAGTGAATCCTCATGCATCCCTCCTATCCCCCTTTTCTAGAAGGGAGCCTAGCATGTGGTGAGTAAACTAGGGCTTTGTAGTACTGCCAGGCATAGCTCTTCCTCCTGGTGGAGACCAGGTACTCAGTAAAGGAACAAATGCCAAAGGGAGGATGGACAGGAGAGTGAGAGCCACCCTGTGCTGCCCCTTCCTGGGTGGAGCCCTGGTCTCTGTCTTTTTCTTTGTTCTTTTCCAACAGCTGGAGTTCTGAAGGGAGCCAGATGTAGTTCTGAGAGCAAGGGAGGAGAGGGGCTAGGGGGAGGGGTAGCTGAAATGCTGGGGTGGGTGGAGGAGGCTGGGCAGAATGCTCTAACACATCCAAAGGGACGCCCAGCCACTGGGGCAATTCCTAGATCCACCTGCCTGCAGGCCCCAGGGAAAGGTCAGAGGGCGCAGATGACAAGCTTTTCCAGGTGAGCCCTGGGCAGCAGGGAGGGGAGAGGGTTACTGGGACAGTTGCTACAGCAACATCACCCTGGAAACCTGATACCTGAGCCTCCTGCTAAGATGCCCAGAGCTTTGCCAACCTCCTGAGGCCGGTAGAGGGAAATGGGGCACTAATGGTGACAGGAGGAGGCAGTGTCTCCAGGCCCCTGTTCTCCTTCCAGGGGGAGGGCAGGCTGGAAGGAGGGGCAGGGAGGGCTGCTCTGGCTTGGATTAGTGACTCCCTGGCCTCGGTAGAGCCTGCCGGTTGCTCATCCAGATGTTGCCCATTTCTGGAGTCAGGCTTGACACATATGCCCCTACTAGGGATGAGGGGGGCTTTCAGGGTGCTGTCCAGGGGCCTGCCCTGCAAGCCACCATGGGCACCTTTCAGTCCCTCCAACCTACATGGAATGTGGGGGAGGAGTGAAGAGTGAAAGGGTCCTCTCTGCCTGTCTCTGGGGAAACGGACCCCAGAAACTCAGAGAACCAACCTGTGCTGTACCCACAGACAAGAGCCCAGTGCTGAGGCCCTCTGTCTGGACAGAGACAGATGTGAGCACCTGGCAGCCAGCAGGCAGGGCGGTACTCCACCTAACCCGACCCTCCTGATGGGTCAGTGATAGGTAGGGCAGAGGAGCTTGCCCCTCCTAGGCTAGAATGGGGAGTAGAGAGGGGTCGGGCAGGGAGCAGACACATATTAACCTGAAGCTGTGGGGGCTCCCAGGGGTGCTCACCCTGACCCCTCCCACACCAACCCTCCTGGGTGTAGGCAGCAGTACCTTGTCAGCAGTGGGGACCACAGGTGGGGTTAGGATGCTGGAGGGTGACTCAGGCCGCTTCTTGTGCTTCTGTTTAAGGCGTTCTTTGTCCTTTCGACTCTAGGGAGGAAGAAGTGAATTGACACTTGTGTTGGGGAACAGTCCGGGTGAGGATAAACATGGTGCTTACATGTAGGGGTGGAGCCTTCTCAGAGATGAGTCTTTGTGCGTGACATCTCCCCTCCCACCCCGTGGAAGGACTAGGGGACTCTGGCTGGACAGGAGGCGCTCAGGCAGGTTCCTCTGAGAGCTAAGTCTCTCCTCTCATCCCCAATGCCTGCTAAAGACAGCCTGTCCCATTATCGTGCCAGGGACACAGCACCACACAAGCGAGCACGCACCTACAAGGGTATCCACCCAGGACACAGAAATGCGCAGAGGGACGGGAGCCAGGACCTCTGTGACAAGTTGCCCGAGGGGATGCAGGCATGGACAAACTAGGCTGACACATTGCTAGATTGTGGCGATGTGTGTAAATGTCCAGAGCCATGTGTCGGGGTGTCTGGGGACACATGTCATGGGGGGATACGGAGGAACCCCACAGATACAAAGAGCCCCAGGGAAACGAGGCCTTCAGCTCATCGTCTGTGACCCTCATATGTCACTTCCTCAACCCCCTCTCGACCCTCTGTGGCCTCAGAGGAAGGAAGAGGGCAGGCGCTAAGGCCTTGGGGACACCTGTGGTGGCTTCTGGAAAGAAGCTTGTGTTTTTTAGTGTGGGCCATAGAGGCAGACCCGTAAGACTTTTACCTTCTTCTGGCCCCTCTCGTGGTGGGAAGGGTGCTTCTCCTGCTGGGTGGATGGCGAAGCTGACCTGCTTCTCCGGCCAGTGATGAAGCCACTGCTACCTCCCACTGTGGCACTGCCTCCTCCTCCTCCTCCTCCTCCTGTTCCTCCGCTGCCTCCCCCGCTGGTGTGCCGAGATGTCTTCTGGGGAGAGAACCAAGAGGAATTGCCAAACCCTCTTCTCCCTAGCTCAAGGGAAAGTTCCTGAAGGTCAGGTGATCCTGGGGGCCAGTTTCAACCCCACACTGGCCTGCCTGTCACTAAGAGGACCTTGCGTCCTTAGTGATACTCTGCTCAATAGAAGGGCGTTCTCTAGCCTGAGATCCTAGTTTCCCCAGATTCAGCAACTGAGACCTAGAAGAGGTAGGGGCATCTTGACCCCAGTAAGGCACGGCTGGAGGTAGGCCTGGGGCCCAGGTCTCTTATGCTACACCCACCTCCTTCTACGGTGCCCTATTGGCCCCTTTCAGGCCCTGGGCCACAGCCTACCTCCACCTCTGGGGTGGGAGCCCTCATGGGAGCCCCTGCTCGCCTGCATTCCATACTTCATCCTCCCCTCCAGACTCTCTGCTCCAGCCATCACCCCTTCTCCTTTGTTCTTGGCCTTCCACCAAACATAGTGGTTCCATCCCAAAGGGCCTGCTGCCCTTAAGAAGCGGGAAGTAAATATTCACAAGAAAAACCCAAACAACCCTTGTGCTGCCATTCCTCCCAGCCAGGGCTCTGGGCTCTCCCTGCCTGATCCAATGGCTTCACCTGTCCTAGACTTGCAGCTGTTCCCTCTAAGGCCACCCACTACCTCCCAACTGTCAAATTCAAGGACTCATTTCGGGCCTCAACTGACCAAATCGCTCCCTAGCAGTGGGCACCAGGGACTCCAGCCCCAGTCTTACACAGCTAAGGCTGCCACAACCACCCTGCCCCGGGGGTCTCACAGCCCCTAAATCTGAACACCCTCACTCGGCACCTCCTATAAACCAAACCAAGCTCCCTACCTTGTCTTAAGTCAATATTGAACCCTGAACCAAGGTGACCCTATGACTTATGATCTAAACCAAGATATTTTTGAAAATGAAAGAGACAGCTATTAATAATTACACCAAGGCAACAAGCACAAACTGGGACTCTCCAGGGCAGACCAGGACATATGCCGGCCCTACAGAAGCTTGTTGCACCCCAGTTCACAGCACTCTCAGGTGCTCAAGCCCCATCTACCCAGCATCAAGGGCCTGGATCCTGTGTGCCACCCTCAACAACTCCTTCTCAGCACCCCTACATGTAGGCAAGTCTACCTAGAAATGGTTGTAGAATCCAGCCTCACCACCCCCCACCCAACCCCGCCCCACCGCAGCTGTCTCCCAGCCGCCAGCCTTGGCCCTTCAGCTCCAGCTTCACAGTGGCTGCCAGGGTAATCTTCCTGAAAAACAAATCTGATCATGTTACCCTCTTGCTTATAAGCAGCCTTATAAGCCTGTGGCCTGGGGTTGAGGTCCAAGCTGCTTTCCCAGTCAGGCCACAGCATACATCTGCAGGACACCCCACCACTTCTAGAACATGCAGGTCTCTCCACAAATATGGGATAGCACCCCTTTTCCAGCCTCTCCTTGGGCCCCTGAACCTGGGGAAGAAGCGAGTCCAGCTCTGGCCCTACTTGAGCTTTTGTGCCTCATCTCCTGCCTCCTCCCTACCGAACACCCTGCCTACTAAAGCTCTCTCTCATCTCAGGACTTTGTCCATGCCAGTCACCCTGCCTGGGATTCCTTTCTCTCTGTCTTTGCTTGGTAGGCTCCCACGGAGCTTCCAAATCAGATTGTCTGTCCTGAATCTCATACACCTGCAGTGAGGTAAGTAAAAAACTGCAGAGGGCCTTAGTTTACTCATCTTTAAACTGAGAATATATAGTACACCTAGTTCTTTGGGTTGTTGGAAGGATCACATGAAATGACACATGTAAAGAACTTAGTACAGTGGCTGGGGCACATTAAGCCCCACAAATGTTGGCTCTTATTGGTGGCTCAGTTTAAGTGCTGTCTCTTTAAAACCTCCCAGACTCGGACAGGCAGGGTCTGAGCTCTGTCTTCTGGGGTGGTGGACTACTTGGTTCAGCTCTGTTTCACACGCCTCAGGCTGTACTTCAATTTATTCCTCATCCAATGGTGAGCTCCTCAAGGACAGGGACATAGTTCCTTCCATGTCTGTCCTCCCAGCACCAGGCAGTGGCCTGGCCTGAAGCCCACACCCTCTAAACCCTGGCTGACTGACCCACTCACACCCTGGCAGACGAAACTCACCATCTTGCTGAAGTGGTATTTGCAGTAGCCACAGTACTTGACATTGTCGACCTCCAGCACTTCTTCCTCACACAGCAGGCCTGCCATCTGGGCACTAACCAAGAAGGTCCACCTGAGAAGGGTGTGGCCACAAACCAGACCTGCCACCTGCCTTCCCCCTCCTAGACCCCTGCTGGGGCAAGGACAAGGCCACCCAAAGAAAGCACTGCTATCATGACCAAAGAGACAGCAGCTAGGATGAGTGCATTTGGCAGCCATCCATGGCAAACCTCAGAGGGGGTTGGTACAGCTGGCCAGGGATCCCAGGTAACCCTGCGGGGTGGGTGCAGGGCAGGCAGACGTCTCACCAGGTGACATGAAAAGCTTGTCGACATCCGTGGCGGTTACAGGTCATGCAGGCTCCTGAGGCTGCCTTGCTCTCCCGGCCCTGCTCCTCGCAGATGTAACATGTCTGCAGGACAGAGTGCAATCGTCCCCTCCTCCCTTATATCTGACGGATCCCGCCCCCCCCCCCCCCCGGTTTCATCTTCTCCTCGTGATCCTGGGTCAGTGCAATCCAACAGCACTTTCTGTGATGATGAAAATGTCCTATACTGTGCTGTCCGATGTAGCAGCCATGAACCACATGGGCTATGGAAATGTGGCCAGTGTGAGTGAGGAACTGAATTTTAAATTGTATTTAACTGTAATTAACTTGCATAGCCATGGGTGGCTGGTGGCTACTATATTGGATAGTGCAGTCCTTGGATGGCGATCCCTTAAGGCCAGAGACTATGTCTGTCTGGCTCAGCAGTGAGTTTATTCCCACCTCTGAGCCTCTGCACATGCTGTTCCTTCTGCCTGGAACCTGGAACAATCCCCTGCCACCTGACCCCCCCTCCACCAACCGCTGGCTCCTTCTCATTTGCCAGGTCTCAACCAAAATGTCTTTTTCCTTGACTACTTTATCTAAAGTAAGCCCCCCATAGGGTATTCTTTATTTCAGTACCTTGTTTATTTTCTTCACAGCACTTACCACAAATTGCATTTACTTTATTTGCCTGTTTACTGATATTTATAGTCTTCCCACACAGGAGTGTGAGTTCCATGGGGCAGGGAGCACATCTGTCTTGATCAGTACTAAACACTGTGCGCTTGGTACCTTGGCCCAGTTTGGGCACATAGTAGGCACTCAGTGAAATGTGTTTGGTGAACGAAAGAGTGAACTGCTTGCTGAGGTCTACCTTCAGGCAGTACAACTGCAGGGGAGCCTGCTGCTTCACTTGAGTTCCAGAGTGAAAGCAGCGTCTGTCAGTGGAAGCTGCCTACCTACCTCCTGAGTTCCCTGAAAAGTGTTGGTTGGACAGAATCAAATTACACTGGACGAAGAGAGGACTGGAGGGACCCAAGAATTGTTGGCTAGGGAGAGGACTGGTATGGGGCACAGTAGGGGCCGCTGACCTTGTTGAAGCGATCATGAGGCACGTACTGCAGCACGATGGGCTCCATGGTGAGCACGTTGGCAAACTGCACCTCAGGGATGTAGAGGGCACACACCACGTGGGCCCAGCCTGGGGCGGTGTGGGGCCGGCCTCAGCTGTGATGGCGAGCCCGAGACCCCAACCCCTCACAACCCCACACTGCAGATGGTCCCCTCCTCCACAGCCTTCCCATCAGACTCCAATACCAGCCAGGGAAGGGCAGGGAAACGCAGCCTTTGCACCCCACCCCTGCCCGCAGTCCACTCCTGCCTTCCCAGACCCTGCTCAGGGGGCCTTGCTGACCTCCACAGATGAGCCCTGGGGCTCAGGGACCCCTCACCTCCATTGTCAGTCCTCTTCAATGCCCCGTCTTTGTGTGGGCACAGCTCACACCTCTGCCAATATAAGGGAGGCACAGGGATTTGGGGGGGCAGGCCTTCCTAAAAGGGGTGGGGGATCTGCTCAGCTGGGCCCTCCCTGAATACATTTGGAGGGCCCCAGGATGAAATAAGGTGTCTATGGAAGACTGGTGGGGGTACAGAGGAAACAGGATTGACCATGAGTGAAAATTTTTGAAGATCGGTGATGAGGACATGAGGTTCATTGTAATATTCCCTCTACTTTTATAAACATTGGAAACTTTCCATTGTAAAAAAGCTCAAACAAACAAGCAAGTTAAAAAAAGGCCCGGTGCCTGACGTGGGGCGCAGTGAGGGATAAGCTGAGGGAGAGATGGGGTTGGTGATAGGTGTGCAGGAAACAGGAAGTCCTGTGTGACAGTCCTACCCTAGCCTCAACCTCAGAGTCCCCTAGCTCAACGGGGGGGAGGGGATGCTCAGGTGTACAGGAGGGGGGAGGAGTCTCAAACTCACCACCCTGGCTGCTCGCTCCTGAGATTCACATTTCCGGCAGAACCGGG